TATTTGCAACTTAACATTACCTACATTTCCAGTTGAACAGCAGCTTTTTCTGCCTCTGTTTCAGATTATTTATTTGAATGTATTTTGTTGTTTAAAGGCACGGGAGCGAGCATGGAGGATCGGTCAGAAGCAGCAAGTGACGATCTATAGACTGCTGACTGCAGGGACCATCGAAGAGAAAATCTACCACAGGTCAGAGTTCAGTTTTTCTTTTAATGTTTGGCCATAAACCCTTCTTCACAGAACTGAATTAAAAAGAAGTTTAAAAATTCCTGCACTGACTTTTGTGCTTACTCTCACCCAGTCTTACATTTTAGTTGTCTTTCCATTGACTTCACATGTTCATGAATATTGGTAATAACAAGACTAATTGCTCACATCACTGCTGTATTACCACTTGCACTATCCCAGTCCTCAGTAATTGAAAAGCTTTCCTGCATTATTAAATGGCCAATCAAGGACTTCTAAACTGTTGCTCTGTTTGGTTTGGGTCTGTAAAGTGCTTTCAAAAAGCAAGTTTGAAGAACTGCAGGGATTCTATTTTGATACCTACAGTAGTGCGGTTAACTAATTTTCTCATCCATCAGCCAAACTACTCTGTGGTGACAGAGGATCAGGGTTGCCTGCTGAGGTAAAATAGCAAATTACACACAAGTATCTAATTCTGCATTTTTATCTGTTGTAATTCAGGCAAATATTCAAACAGTTTCTGACCAATCGTGTTCTGAAGGACCCCAAACAAAGACGGTTCTTCAAGTCTAACGACATCTATGAGCTCTTCACCCTTTCTGACCCTGGATCTCAGGGAACAGAGACCAGTGCCATATTTGCAGGTTTGCAGATTTTTCTTTGTTTATTTTGTTCTTACCAGAGAAACATTTTATTGTCTTATTATTAGATTATATGAATCTTTTTCAAAAATATGTTTGAAAGAATTTAACTAACTTGTTTTGTTTTTGTTCTCATACAGGTACAGGTTCTGATGTCAAAGCACCCAAAAAACCTGAAAGGCCAAGGCCATCTCACACGGTGAACCATGGCAGCCATGTACATAAACACTCCTCTGCAAACCATAATGAAATTGGTGCCGACAGCCAACACTCCTCAACAAACATTCCTGCATTAAGAGATGGAAAAGCTTCTCTGTGCAGTAAAAACTCTCAGGGTAAACCAAATGTCCCAACCGACAGTCAAGGCACCAACCAAAATGGCGAGGATGTAGAGCAAAATATTCCAGCAAATACACAGCATATAGGGAAAAATAACGGAGACTGGGATGGAGCCGAGCCATCATTCAAAAACTCAAACTCATCCAGCACTCACCAACACAGAGACGAACACTCTGCCCTAACTAGCCCACAGAAACACAGAGAAAAAAGGAAGCACTGCAACTCAGCTAACTCAGACAAACATCAGAAGCGCAAACACTCCCAGGATGCTCGGTTTGAAGGACACCGCATATCTCACTTGGTGAAAAAAAGGACGTATAAGAAAGCGGAGAGTGAAGACAATGAAACAGGAGACCAGAAGAAATCAGACGATTATGTCTTATCAAAGCTCTTCAAGAAATCTGGTAGGCTTTTTGTGCACAAACCTTATCAGTCATATCAAACATGGGTAATTTAGTAAGTCTTGCGAAACAGTAAGCTTCTTTTTTAACTATTTCTTTAACTTTTTGTTACTCGTCTTCCTCTGTCTTCTTCAGGTATCCACAGTGTGATGCAGCATGATACCATCATGGAGTCCTCCAACCCTGACTATGTTCTTGTGGAGGCAGAAGCCAACAGGGTGGCCAAAGATGCCCTGAAAGCTCTTAAGATTTCCCGCCAACAAAGCAGGCTGTGCTACAATAGACCCCCTCCTCCACCTGCAAGGTACACTATCTCACTGCCTCAGCGGTTGTTTAGAGCTTTACTAATCTCATTTAAAACAAACTATATCTAAGTTTTCCCGTTGTTTGTTATCTTAGGAAACGGTTTGGACAAAAGAAGAATTCTCTCCTGGTTGCACCTACTGTTCAGTCTGTCCCTACTCCGGGCAAATGCAAGGTAACAGCAGTGTATTGTGAAAAGATATGCAGGATAGTTACAGCAGTTATTTTGCATCTGAGATAACATCTGTTTCTCTCTTTAGGATGCTGCTATTATAAAGAAATCTCTGTCAAAGAAGCCTGGCTCAGGAGCTCATTTCAGTGGAGAGGGGCCAGAAACTGAATCAAACTCCGCCCCACTCTCCTCCTCCTCCCTGCTTGCCAAGATGAGAGTCCGTAATCACCTCAGCCTGCCCTCCAGCCAAAGAGAAGAGGAAGAGGAGGACGGCTCTTCAGCTCCAGGAACGAGCTCCCCCCCAGCTCCGCCCACTGAGCATGACGAGCTGTTGGTGGATCTGCGCAACTTCGTAGCCTTTCAGGCGAATGTGGACGGACAGGCCACCACCCAGGAAGTGCTGGAGTATTTCAAACCAAGACTGACCCAGAAGCAGGCACCAGTCTTCAGAGAACTGCTGAGGAGCATCTGTGACTTCCACAGGACATCTGGTCAGGAGGGCATCTGGAGACTGAAGGAGCACTTCCGCTGAGTGAGGCACAGATGAAACTGGAGGAATCCCAACTGTGATGCATATTTAAGTACTTCTAAGCTATGAATCTGTAGAGTTCAAGCCTACAAGATCAACCTGTTTTTCTTGATGTTTTTTTATGTTGTTTTGATGTCTGTCTAACAAAACTACATCGGTCATATTATTGTATGTTTTGAAAGGACCATATTGTCGCAAAGCCATTTTACTGTACAGTGGGCGAGCTCATGAACTAATTTGATTATCTGTTAATTATCAGTTAACAAAGTTTTGAAGGGAAAGTTCGTTGTAATGTACAATTTGTTTCAGCTGCAATGTGAATCAATTTTTTGCTTGTTCAAGCATTACTGCAATTGCTTCTGTTGTTTTATTGCTTCTGTCTGTTGTTGATTGTACCTGGTATACTTGAATTCACTTATTTTGTATTTGCCTGAAAGCTAAAACTGTATTACATTTGATAATGCTTTAAAAATTTGTACCTGAACAGTCTCACTTGTAACAGATTTTGTTATATGTTTCTATAAAAAAATAATAGGGGAGTAGTGTGTCATTTTGTATGTATGACCAAATTAAATATAGGTGTTGGTAGATTTTGTAATGTACTATAGTATGAGTGGAGCATGGGGGGCCTTAAACTGAAAAAATGGCAAAAAGAGTTCTGTTGCTGCCATGTTTTATAGAAAATAAAAAGCTTGTGATGCAGCAGTGATTTATAACTGTTTTTTTCTTGTATGGTACTTCTACATAGTAAAGGAAGAGCTATTTAATTAAGAAGAAACATGTTTAAAAAATGTTTTATTTTAAACTAGATGAGCAGCCCATAAACAGGTTATAGAGTAAATAATTGACAGTTTTGGGCATATTTTCCCAGTTTGTGATAAATTTCCATATTTTATTTTTACTAACAGTGGAAGATTTACACATTTTAATATAATTTGTTATATCAGAATTTGATATAATTAAGATCACACTCCTAAAAAGATCATTATGGAGTGTGGGACTGTGGTGCTGACCAAGGTCCTGAAATGCAGTCCGGTTGGCAAACTATAGAAATCCTGTAAACATGGGACCCACAATCTGCAAACCCTAGTTAAAGTTAACTTGTAAAATTGTCTCTAACCAACGACGATGAGAGTGTAATTTCATTTAGCCATTTAAGCAATCATCAGAGGATGGATAGGAAAGGCGCTGACAGGAAGCAGATACACACACACACACCAAGCCTGCACTCTTGTCAGAGTTGTCTAGACCAAATATTGGGATAAAGTTATCAGCCGTTATTTGATTTCAATTTTCTCCACGCACCTCGCCGAGGTCATAATAACAACTTTATTTTCAGTGGTGCATAAATTAATTACGCGCATTTAATAACTAAAATATCATTATATTCCCCCTTTAATAACATAAACGCTGCACGCCAGGGAAACCCTTAATAGCGCGGGGCCCTGTAACTGGCCATTATCCGCCTGTAATGATATTACAGAACCAATTACGCGCCATTAGAAGGGATTTTCTGCACTTTATGTGGTTTAGTCCAATCCCGCTCTCCTCTTCTAAATTTCAGCTGCTTCTCGAAGCCTCATTTTGCCTCCACCTCCGAGACGCATGGCGTCTGCGCTCTGCCGTCCCAGATGCGCTTTAAAACTAATTGAAAGGGTCCCGCAGCAGATCATTTATCTGAGGAAGCGAAATAAATCGCAGGACCCCTTGCTGTGAACAAAATCAAAAATTTGGCCTTGTGAGTGTTCTACATGCACAACCCCTTGTAAAGTGGACCCCCTAACACACCCTGACGAGCAATTAACCCACCCGACAGTCAATCTAAAACCCAAAAGCAGTCATCCTCCTTTTTTTAATATATGAAAGAACCAAATAAAAAGTGCAGCGGGTATGTGTGCATGTTTATGGTTAGGGAATATGCTTGACTCTGGAATAACAATCACTTGTGATGAATTTTTTTGGCACCAGAGCAGAGCTGCCGTTTGCCACCCTGGGTATATCTCCCCACTCCCTGTTCTTTCTATCTTTCTCTGACACACACACACATACACGTTCACACACACGCACACACACACACACACACACACACACACACACACACACACACACACACACACACCAGGGGTTGGTGGTGAGAGAGACAAAGCCGTGATAATCCGATTAGGACCAATTAGGCGTGAGATTCGGCGACACTAGCTGAAAGCCTTAACACTCTGTAGACAGTTATACAGTTATAGAGACATCTGGACACTCCCGGAGCAAGGGAGAGATGCGTGTGTGTGTGTGTGTGTGTGTGTGTGTGTGTGTAGGAGAGAGAGAAAGAGAGAGAGGGAGGGAGAGATCTGGACACTCCCAGACAGAGAGTCAGAGAAATTGCAGCAGCCACCTCTCTCCAGAGCGGGGAGTCACTCACATCAGCATCCTCACCGCAGGTAGGATGCTCTCTCACGTCAACTTTGAATCATCTGAAGTCCATTTCTCACCATACATGTGTGGCAGCTGCAGCCGACCAGAGACGCTGGGCTGAAACTTCTGTCTCTGTTCCAGGTTCAGCTTCGCAGCTCAGAGACACGCCAGGATGTTCTACTTTCACTGTCCGCCTCAGCTGGACGGAGAGTGCTGTCGCTCCAACACATGTAAGTTCTCTCTCCTGCATTTTTACAACATCGTTGTCAGTTGATTTTATACAACTGTAAGTTGTTTCTGTCTCTCTTAAAGCCGGGGTCTGAAAACTTTTATGATGTTCGGGCTGCGTACTTGCGTGCACAAAGTGTGTGTGTGTGAGTTGTTGTTGTTGGATGAGCCAGAATAGGCCCGAGCAGATGTTTTCTTTTTTGTGTTTTATGACTATCCTCAATTAATAATAAAATGACACAGGCCCATAGAGGAAAAACCTTTTTTCATGCAATGATTAATTAAAATATGTTTATACTCTAACCCGCAGTTATCGCCATCGCTATTTTGAAAACAAATATTTTCCATCTTTAAAAATTGTATCTTAAATAGGGATTTTGCCTAATGCATAGGCTATAAACAATTATATCAGCCTAAATCAACGAGTATTATCTCTTTCCTACATATTCAAAGGTGGATATAGGGGGTTAAGTCTGATTTCCCCTCTGCGATGTCAATCTGCTGGCAGTTTTGGTGAAAAGCGCTGGTGGTTTGGCCCCAGGGCAGAGGGGGCGTTTTGTCCCGGTCACAGATGTTGGGTGTCATGGCTCTTAGTCCGTCATGCTTCCCCTCACAGGCTCCACCCGACATCTATGTTTCACGCAACTAATGGAAAAACGAAATGTGCCAGAGAATTCTCTAATCTCACCTGATTTGGCCAATATTTATATATTTATATAGATATGGAACTTTTCCTTTTTTACTGAATTAAATAAATATGGATATAAATTTTAAAACCTAATTTTATCAAGTGAATGAATTCTTTCTAACAAACTTTTTTTCAGTGAATTCAAGCGGTTTTGGCAACCACGCCCCGGCTGATTTTGATGATGGATTTCTACGTAGAAAACAGCGCAGAAACAGAACAACATTTACTTTGCAACAGGTAATTATTTTCCATGGCAGAATTATATATATGAAACTTAACGTTAAAGTGAAACAGGCATAGGGCACTACATTAAAAGTAGATGAAGACTAAAGATAAAGACTTTGTCAGAGAGTTGTGCTTATAGGCAAAAAATTAAGGCCGTTATGATTGTTTTCGTACGATAACAACCTGAAAGAAAATAACATCATTGCTTCGCTATATGAAAAATAAAATACAAGAATATGAAACCTGTAGAAAAGAAGCTATTTGTCCTTTTGAATATCACGCTCTCTCATTGCATGCAGTTAATTAGATGTTAGGCAATAGTTAAGCTTATAGTTTAGCTTTTTGAGCTTCTTCATCTAATAGTCCGTTATCCTTGTCAAATGTTTAAGCAAGTTTAAGGGTTTTATTTTTTAAACAGATGAAGGTAATGAGGATTGAGAAAAACGGAGAAAGAGAGAAAAAAAGAAAAGTCAAAATAAACGGAAAGGTACAAATAAATCGATCAACAGTAAAATAAAAAAACTAGTGTAGCCTATAACTGGTGTTTTCTGTCCATGCAGTTGGAGGCTTTGGAGGCGGTCTTCGCCCAGACTCACTACCCGGACGTGTTCACCCGGGAGGAGCTGGCCATGAAGATCAACCTGACCGAGGCCAGGGTGCAGGTAGGCTGCAGCAGCGCAATGTGTCCTGGGCACGTTTGACCATGCGAGAGAGGGTAAATTAGGCCACTCTGTCATTCCGGCGATGCACTTTAATAACATCAACATAATGGTGAATATTAGATTAGCGTGATTAATCGGTCATTCATAATTAACCAGCGATAATGTTCCTCACTAATTTGTCCGCGTCTCAAAGGTAGGGATACATCATCCATGCAGATCCCTTTCCCTATCGCAGACAGAGAACGATAGGTAGGCTACTTTAAAAGAGGGCAAAGCCTGCAGCCTCCAAAACTCACTCTCTCTCGCACACACACACACACACACTTAAAACATAAACACACACACGCACCTTAAATTTGGCAATTTATATTCCGCTCCTGCCCTGCACATATGCGCCGTTATAAACTTGGCCAGATGTAATTAAGTTATGTGTCCTGTATGTAATTTCCTGCATTCCAGATTTGCTTTTGGGTTTTGTTGTGCGCGCAGATCTAATTGTCGGAAATATAATAGTTTGCCTTTTGTTCCCCAGGGTCATCTTACTATCGCTTAAACCCAATGGCAGGGTTGATAATGGAATCCAGCGCTGTAAATTAGGGATTGTAAACAAATTATTCCTCTCCTAATCCGATTACCACATTCCTATTATTAAATCTGAACATGAATCCACCGCAGTATGCAGGGATATTAAACTTACATTATTATTAGAAAATAAATTTCCTTTCTGTTGTAGTGTTGTTGCCCCCCTTTTTGTAAAGTGTCAATGGGCCTCCCCCGCATTAAGAGCACGCCGCAAATTGAGATTAATGGAGCAATTATAGCCCATTCAGAGAGGGTATGTGTGTGGGGGGGCGCGACTTCTAGCTGGAAGGTGCAAGGGTGAGATAAGTCCATTGCTTGTATTGTTGTCCTGCCACCAAAATGTTGTCCTTTCTTTATGCCGAATGAATGCATGTGTTTTGTTTGGCTGTTGACATCATTTATACCTCCAGTACAATAGGAGAGATGCAGAGCACATGCTCACCGACTCTAACCTCCATTCACACATCATGATTAATGCCCGCAAGAACCAAGTCCTAATCGAATCTGATGTTGTCAAACAATCACTAAATAGGGAAATAAACGACTTCATCATAGCTGCGTCTCTCTCTGGCAGCACAACTGTCAGTGGGAAGTCATTAAAATATGATAATGAAAAATTGCTCAATTAAATGTTGTTATAGGCAGTGACCTTCATTCAATTAAGACACCAGAACTTAGCTATATGTTCTCATCTGTGTGGATGGTCAAGTTTTTGGGATAAGTCTGGGACTGTGGGAAACTGGAGCACTGGTGTGACACATTCAAACATCTCTTGATGTTCAACCCAAAACAAAAAAAATAGTTTTTGTTTAAACTTTGCTGGACCTGTTAACAAGATAGAAAAAAATACAATTTGTGTGCTTCAAGTTTGCATTTGTTTGTCTGTGATATGCTAAAAGAATAAGGAAAATTAAGAGCTTGCTGAGAGAAAAATTGGCACAGATCGAAAGCTGCATTCAGTGAATAAAATAAATGGATGCCAGAATGTCAGGAAATGCAGCGATATTCTAGTTTAATTAGTGATTTAATTGTTTTGCTTTTTGTCTTCCCTTTCTTTCTTTTTTTTAAAATGCAGGTTTGGTTTCAGAACCGCAGAGCAAAGTGGAGGAAGACGGAGCGAGGGAGCGCAGACCCTGAAGGAGGAAAAGAGCAGATGAGTGAGGGCACTCCTCCATCTCGCAGCATCAACTCTCAATCCCCAGTGGACCACAGCAGAAAACAAAAAGAACCTCTGGAGATGCAGCAGAGGTTGGAAAACACAGACAGATGATTGTTTTTGCTGTTGTTGTGAAATAGTATCCTATTGGTAGGAGAAATGTATGACTGAAAGGTTGCTGGTCCAGTCTTTGCAGACTAGTAGAGCTGGGTGATGGAAAGAAATAAGAAGCAATATCCTTTCCATCAATAACTGCCACCACAAAACTCTGACAGCCATCTAGATTCAACTGTGTCCTCAAAAAACTCTGCCAATTAAATTGATTGAAAGTGGCAGAGAAATCCAGCTCTGCATTGCTGTGTAGTTAGAGAGAAAGTTGCAGATATTTCTAGAAATGATTATTATTTATAGAATAATTTGCGAGTTTAAACTTTTCACTAGATAATTGGATATAGTATGTCTGTTTTCTCCAGTATCAACAGGACAGTGGGTCCAAGTGGTCCGTTCTTCCCATCTTGTATACCAGGGACACTCCTCAACTCTGCCACCTACGCTCAGGCCCTCTCACAGGTTGCCACACTGAAAGGTAAATAAGATTCTCAAGAATTGGCAAATACAGATGTTGATGAAAATCTGGTCTTCTGTAGTCTTACCGTTTTCCCTGTTTCGTTATTTTTCAGGTAATGGTTTGTGCTCCTGCTGTGTTTCCGACCCCATGGGCTTGTCCTTCCTGCCACCCTATGGTTGTCAGGGCAACCGCACAGCCAGCGTGGCCGCCCTGCGCATGAAGGCCCGTGAGCACTCGGAGGCCGTGCTGCAGTCTGCCAACCTGCTCGGTGCGGCGACTGGACCTGCCGCCGGCATGGGAGTCCTGCCTGGAGTCGGCGTGAGCTCAGCCGGGGTGGTAAGGTCTGCAGTGGGTCCTGCCATCGAGGTGGGAAGAGGAGGAGACAGCTCCAGTCCCGGCCCGGCCACCAAGGTCCCAGTCCTGAGCAGCAGTCCTGACAAACACCCTCACTGTTCCAAGGAACCACTGGAGAAAAAGTGAGGCGTAGGACATAAACATGGACGTACTGATACTCTGTGTGATCGTGCCTGTTATTACTCCTCTACTCATCCTATGAGCAACTAAGCACAACTACTGAGTGACTCCAGAAAAGGCCTGGGAAAGACTTCACTGATATCACAATGTATGGATGCAAACATTAAAATATTTATTTGACAGTAAATTATTATTATTGTTTGTGAGAAATGCTGAATATTTGGGGCTTTGTTATCCCTATAGAAGCACAAGTGTGGTTTTGGATCTATATCTGTCTTCATGCACTCTTGGACTCTATTTGATGGACTAACATAGATTCAACATGTGTGCAAAAAAGACCTATTTGATAATGTGAATTTAAGTAATCCTGAAACAGTTCCTCTTGTTTTCACAAAGAGGGCTGATGCGTACATTGTGAATGTTAATGCATGTATACTGTGTAGAACTGATGGCAGGACAGTGAGGATTTTGGCAATATAACGTTTATGCTGTCAGGTCAGAAATGGGCTCAAACAATCTCTCATTCTTTTGATTTTAAAGTGAAAGTGCACTTTAATATTAATCAGCCATTTTCAGTGTAAATATGTACATGTGCCAGAATACAGTATGTTCATGTAGGAACCCCAGGCTGGCTGAAGCAGACCCAGGGACAGAGGGGTGGCTGTCCCTTCCGCTCTGTTAGCACATCTGTAGCGTCAGCAGACAGGGAACACACCAGTCCTGTTGTGACATGTTTTTTTAAAAACAATTAAAGATGTAGTCGCTCATGTTCCTCTCCTGTTGCCTCTTGCTCCAGCCATCTGTTCTGATACATTATTTATCAGTTTCCCTTAAAGCCGGGAGAGGAGAGCGATCGTGGCTCTTATTATTTATTTACTTTTAGGAACGCTCACCATCTTCCTCTTTCACTTCCTCTCTCTAAGCATTTTTTAATAAACCCTATTAAACATGATATATGCTATTTATTAATGTTGAATTTACATTTTAAAAAGTATCATCTCTCATCACCTCAGGGCTCTTCACACAGTAGTTCATCACAGGCAATACATGTGTTGATTTATTATTCCTAAATATCTCTCCTCACTAGAATGACTCTTGAATGAAGGATCAGCTGATCAGATTGAGATTACTTAACCGCGGAGCACACTACCAGTAGTTGGGCTGATTCAATTTGCGTCCTTGAGGATTTTCTGGAAATTACTTTTGATAGTCAATAACACAATTAAGTAAACTGCACACACATTATCATGAATAATTGATAAGAAATTATGTATTACCATGAAGTACTGGTTCAATAATTGATGAGGCGACACCCTGATGACACAGAAGAGGGAGATAATGTCAGAAGTCGTGCCAGGTTGTACACAGAGTACAGAGCACTCACATCCTCTTTTTTACACCCGTATGTGTGCATGTTGTAAATACCCTACAAATATTCCAATAAAGTGACACTTTCACTGACTGTGAGTCACCATCTTGTGACAGTAACACTTTTTAAGATTAGATGGGATTTTCATTTTATTGGAACACCATATATTCTGACAAAAAACACACACCAGCCATACAAATAAATTGGCACTGTTGAGACAAATGTCAAAATGCAGTGAAAATAAAGTTTGAAAATCTGAACTATTTTGTCCTATTTTTATTTATTTTGTATAATAAAATAGGCTCGTTAAATAGCAGGTACCGTATTGATTCATGCCCCAAATAATATTAGCAAAAACATCATGTCCTAATATAATGATTTTCCTTTAAGTGCATGAGAGCGCTCCAGAGCAAAGATGTTAAGCCCCCTGACATGGCAGCTAATGATAACACAATATCCAAATCAGCTCCTTTTCCAAAAATGTACCAATGTGGACGACGGAATCCAGCCAACTCATACAAAAGACGTGAAAAACACATTCAATCTCTCCAAAATTGAATACAGTAGTTGTGGAATTTAATCATTAGCCAAAACAAAGGATGCTGAAGTTATAATGACTCCGATCATCATTAAGTTCTGCATGGTGCCCATAATTCACTGCTTTAATATTTGATAAACAAGTCAAGTTGGTGTTGACATTCAGCTGTGCATGTGGCATCATTGATAATTTTCTGTCACCTAAAAAAAGTCCTGAGGCGGTTTTATGGAGCATTGTTACATCAAATTAGCTGGAGAGTGGCCAGAAAAGCAGACAAACATGGTGAATATGGGGGACAGCAGTTGAACTCTGTTCTTACAGTGCAGTTAATGGGCTTCTTTTGTTGCAGTAATGAAATATTTTGCAGGGAAGTGGGGAAATATGTCCTGAAACAGGGAGACGTTGTGCACATGCACCCATCTACAGACAATATAAGGCACGCAGAAAAAGACGGTATACTCAAGAAAGACTGGCACATACATACAATTCTTTTGCTTGACATCGGGTGCAACACCTAGATTTTACTATTCAAGAACCCAGCTTCCAAAGTCAGACATAAAGTGTGTTCAGTGTGTTACAAAAAAAACTTACTAGAGTATCATCTAAGCAGCAGAGCTGATCAATAACCCAATCAATTAGAATCAATTAAGCTAATCTCTGAATGGAGATAAAGCATATCTTAATGCAGCAAGTAATGTGCCTGTCTGCTGTCTGCCACATAACCACAGCTCTACTCCTCCTTACTCAGCACAGGGAAGAGCATCCTCAGCATTTGTGATCAATGCTTACAGTCCTCAGTAGCTTCACAACACAACTATATTGTTGCAGCAAATTTGGAGAGTTGTGTAATTTCACTAGATATGTATCAGAGAAGTAAAAATAAGAATAGAGACCAAATGGAATTGGACCTCTGTTCTTAATTTGTCCACTAGAGGGATTTAGTGAGCAGGAAACATGTCTAGACTCCAGGCAGCAGGCTTCATTTCAAACTACAGTGGGGAAATTGAGCATTTTGGAGAATGAAGTACTTTATCAATCAAAACACATTTTTACTGAGGTGCTGAGTATTGAAGGCTCAAGTAGCAAAACAAGCTGATAAAGCAGAGAGTTGCAAATTGTGGCCAGCGTGGAGCGAAAAGTGCTGGATGAGAAGGGTTTGTGGGTGGAGGTGGTTGTTTAGAGGGGAGGAAAGAGATTAGTTAAAAAGGGATTACCTCAGCCTTTCCCATAGTTGAGTGAGCTGTATGCAAAACCATCTGTGTGTGTGTGTGTGTGTGTGTGTGTGTGTGTGTGTGTGTGTGTGCGCGCATATGTGGAGGAGTGCGTCTCCATTATGGCCCATGTGTGTGTGTCCATCATTCCACCAGGCTTGCCCTGCACCCGCCAAGAATCCCAGGAAACTATCTGCTACAGCAATCTCCTATTATAGCAGCGGGCTGCGGAGGGGGAGGGAGAGGTGTAGGGGTGAAAAGGGGAGGTACAGTTCCTCCCCTTCCTCTGCCTTATGGCCTTTTCTGCTGGGGGTTGTGTGAGGCTGTAGCCAGGGAGATTAGACTTCCATAGTGCTGTAATAAGTGAGTGTAAAATGCATGTTGAAATAACCCTCTCAGATACGTGGCATTAAATGACAAACCTCCTGAAAGGAAATGAATGACAAAATGTGACAAATCTTCTAAAACGTTTCTGTTGTGTGGCCTTATAGTCAAGAGAAAGTGTCATTCAAGTCTATGGTGATGATAGCAGGTGGGTGGTGAGAGCCACTTGTTGACACTACATATAGTCCTCGTCGGTCCTGTTCAACAAAGACGCTGGCACTCGAGTGTTAGCCTACTGAGTTATTTATGTCTCCCAGAAGAGCACCCAAGCTACAGTCCCACCCCCCCAACCCACCCAACACCCTCAATAATAACATATCTTCAGGAAAATAGTTTTTTCCCCCTTGTTTAGACCCCACAACCTCATCTGTCAGTTGTAACACTTTGCCAGTTAGTGAGTTAGCTCTAGGCCAACAGTTAGCTGTCCAGATTTATAAATAGTTGAGAGGCTGTTTGTTTCATCTGTATGACACTTGACACCAAAGGATCTCGCAGATCCGCATGCTAGCTCAAGCCTTCATTCTGTCCCTAATGGTGGACACTCTCTCTGGGACAACTCCTCTATTTCTGTCCAGTTTCCAACCCCGAGTCCCGCTGCCTGCCTCTGGTCAGATGCTCAAAGTGACTGTGGACTATATAGAAATTTGCTTTGGATTGTTGTCAATAGAAAGAAGCAGAGCTGCCAGAGAGGGCCTTGTGAGGTGACAGGGCAGGATCAGATCAGCAAGGCCTTTTTGGGGAGACGGAGTGAGGAGTTTACATTAAGGCCTAAATTATGGATTATAAAACTGGAAGGTAAGACACGAGCTCACTCTACATTCTTGTTCATGCTGAAAGAGGGACACAAATAATGTATAAAAAGCCTGTATAAAAAGAAAAGTGAAAACAAGAGATACTCAACCTTCCAGACATGCATGCAATCTCATTTTCCAATGTGTTTCATTTTTAAAGTGTGTATTTTCATGCAGATAAATATGAAAACATGTGACAAAAATTACCACTTACTGCTTTAATATCCAGATGAAAACACACATTCACTCACTAAAGGTATTGATTTTATTTTATTCCACTGACAGTTCTGACATTTATAAACATTTAGTCATGTCCCTTCTGCTCTCAGAAGTGACAGATTTGCTGCTGTTCAGTCTTCGATTGGACCACAGCCTCTTCTTAAAACGAGGTCTCTTTGGTGTCAGGTTTTATATTTGGAAGCCTGTCTGGACAAAAATAAACCTGTCACATGCAAGAATGAACAGAAATCACACTGACAGTTTGACATTAGATCACTGCTACAAAAAAATCTAATTACACATTTAAATGTTTCTTTCCGATGCATGTAGATTCTTCTTTCTCCGCTGAACAGAACATGTTGTTTGGGTAGAGACAGAGTGAAATGCAAATTAAAAGTGGTGCTAAAAGTGAGTGTAACTATAAAAGACATGCCCTCGCCAAGAAAGGTGTTGCATTGCCGTTTTAATCTTTCCTTAATTTCTGCACCACGTTTTTTGACACTGACTTAGCTGGCTCAGGCTGTACAGCAGTGTTTGTAGCTGATCTGTAGATACGTATGAGATGGATGGTCTCCAACTCAGAAGATACTAATGAACTACTGGATATTCTGAGCAACGTGACGGCTGCCTGGCAGCTGCAGTAAATTTAACCAGAACATACCCATGACGTTAACTTGTTGCATCTAATCCAAACATTTTATTTAAAAAACACAGTACAGCAGAGGGAGAAACAAATTGCTTTATTACTGATATCTTGAGCATTATTTTTAACCACTAGGCTTGATGTTTAAGTATGTTTTGGATTATATCATATATTTCATTTTAGAATCATTGTATTACATGTAGTGTTTGGAAGGCCCTCCATAAGCAATGCACAACAGGTAGCTTACTGGTGATGAGTGAGGGAGACATGGGTAGCAAAAGTAACAGTGTCAATAGATAAAAATATGTTACAGCACCCATCCATGGCCTTTGCTTTTTCAGACATACAGATCAGAAAACACTAATTTTATTTATTATTTAATTTTATTTAAAAAGATTTACACAGAATGTGCCACTAACTACCTACCCAACTCCCGTCTAATTGGTTTATGCTTTATACACTTTTTATTTTGTAAATTGTTTTAGTAGTAGTGTAATTGTTTTTTAATAACTTAAATGTCACATTACAGATTATTCACTTGCCCCAGCAATAAACTTTCTAATTTTATCTCTGGAAATCTCAATTTAGCAGCTTTTCTATTTAAGGATATTCTAATCCGGTTTCCACCTGCTCTCCCCGTACTGTCGTAAAACCAAAGGGGTTTTACTACAAGATTACTTTACAATGTTGAGTTGAATAGTTCTAACCGGACTTTTTGACTCTGTCACTCAAAGAGAAACAGCTATATGAAAGCCTAGCCTGCTGGTCTAACTTGTCTAACCTTTTAACATAATAATGTGAAATTATGTTTTAGTTAGTTGGCAATGTCAGTATCTATCTTTTTATCCCAAAGCAATCACAATGTGTGTGTGTGTGTGTGTGTGTGTGTGTGTGTGTGTGTGTGTGTGTGTGTGTGTGTGTGTGTGTGTGTGTGTGTGTGTGTGTGTGTGTGTGTGTAGGTGAGTGTGGTTATCTAAATTTGTATGGATGCGCCCCACTGTCCCAAAATAACTCACGTGAGGCCTAGCAACAGTGTAGTTTTATTCACAACATGTCTCTGAAGGTCACAGTGATTGAGTAGAAGGATTTACAGGGCTGTTTTCAGATCCACATACAGTACATTGCTGCTTAATGCAAAGGAAAAAAGTGTCGTATCAAGGCAAGCAATCATAAATTAAGCACCACAACAAATGAGTTCCAGTTTTAAGGTTATATGAGTGCCAGTGAGGTCTAGGTTAATTTTCATTTCTTTTTTCCTGTAGGAAAACAACAAATTCCAGGATTTCTTTGGACAGAGGCCAGCTTAAAGGCACAATGTCTTAGAAGCTACTGGCTGTACAAACTCCTGACTGGGGGTCCCAAACTCTGGGTCCTGTAGCTCCAGTAGCAAGAAGAAGGTATCATTTTGAGGTCTGTATGAATGACTCAACAATTGAGGACAGAGCTCTTTGTTAGCGAGCCTGCATCATGACCTCAGTTGAGAAGCGGCGCTCAGGCCGAAAGAGTGGCGGGCATCGAAAGCACAGTGATGGAGGCTACAGCGACACCTCCAGTGGTGGGTCGTTTCTGGATGAGACTGACCGTGAGGTCAGCAATCTGACAGATCGAGCATTCAGGAGTCTCTGCATTGGAGATGAGGCTGTTTATAATGACTCAGACCTCTGTTCATCTTCACCCTGCACCCAGAGAGACAGACACCTTGCCTTTAGCCAGAGTGACCAGGGCAGAGAGGACAGAGACAGGGAGAAACTTAAGAGAGCTGCACATGAGAGCTTCAGCCTCAGGGTACAGCAGTATGGACAGGATTGGATCCATGGAGGAATGTCTGGGGCTGAGATCAACAGAGACCCACAGTGGGAGGTTTATGGGGAAAGGACACAGGGGAAAGTTTCTGCCACATTCCAGCACTCCTTTGTGGAAACTTCTCAACTGGAGGAATCTCTGAGGGGAGACCAGCTGTCCTTCTTCAGCAATGGAGCCACAGAGTTCAGTTCGCAGCAACGCAGAAGCCGCTCCAGAGTTTCCTCTCTCATCAGAGCTTTTAACTCTGAGGGACAAAGGGATGCAGCAGGGATGGATGGTAAACTCACAAAAGAGTGGAATGATGAGACAAGCTGGGACAAATCAGCTCTGATGAGTATCCAAAGAGAACTTTCTGAATTCTCTACATCGTACCAGCAAAACTTTAACAGTGGTTATTTCCCTTCAGCTGGCACGTACTCATCCCGTGACACCAACTTCTACTCCTCTGAAGTAGCAGGAGTGGCTCACATGAATTCTACATCCTCTTTTATGAGATCTTCACACAGTAAACACAGCATGTCTGCACAGGTCAACTCTAACTTCTTTATACACAGCGAGTTTAGTCCCTTTAAGGTATGGAGGGACCATAGCAGGTTTCCCTTCCAACAAGGAGAAGTCTCAGGGTTTATGCACTGTTCACAGTTCCCTAAATGGTATGAGACACCAATGTATAAGGAGCTTTCACTGGAGGCCCAACCACAGGGTTCTTATAGGTTTGAGGAGAGGAGTATCAGACAGCCGAGGAATAACTTAGCGCCAGTGGTTCCTTCTACTCTGCCACGCTCCACCTCAACATCCACAATGCTGCAGAAATCTTTGGCCGTGGAGAAACGGTGTGAGTCAGAGTTGGCAGGTAATTACCCCCACAGGAAGCGGACACAGAGCCTGGGAACTAACAGGCTTCCATCCCAACGCCCATCGACTGCATCACCTACCATCGAGATGTCTCGACGTGTCCGGGACACCATCAGCTCTGTCAAAGCCCTCCAGCAAAAAATCAAAATGATGACAGAGCAAAACATTGCAACTGGGATGACAAATCAAGGTGTACTTTGTAGCAATGAAAATTTAATCCCCTTTGGCAACAATGCAAAAACAGTATCGCCAAATACTGTCAGCAGTAACGCAAGCACAACTCCCTTCAACATCAGCCAGTTGCTCACACCTTTAGTCCATGCACATCAAGAAGCAGAGACATCCGATGTCCAGCAGTATGCAGTTTCCCCTCAACCTGTAGAACATCCTCCAGTGCGGGCTGAAAGCAGGGGAGCCACTCCTGATGTTAGGATGTCCAGCTACAAGTCCAGAGCCACAAGCCTACTCTTTAATCTCAAAGACAACAGGAAAAGAGTAAAAAGCACCTACAGTCCCACCAAATTTAAAGGCTTGGAGACACTGGAGAAAAACAAACAGCCCTCTATCCGGGAGCTTAGAGACACTGTGATAGATATCCCTGATTTTCCAGATCCAGACATTCAATTTCCCCAGTTAGAAGAATCCAACAGGATGAATGCTGCCTCACATCAATGTGTAAACGAGTATCATAGCCCTGGATTGTCACTTAGAACACTGAATTCTCAACCTTCAGAATGCACTTCAAGTGATTACCAGGCAGCTCAGATGCAAGGGGAGATGGTTCATCAATCTGGGTTCACTGGCTTCATACCTGAAAATTCGCCTGGCAATCAGCTGGCTAATGGACAGAATCTCCATGAAAACATAGTGTCATTTACTCCCTATAAGCAAGGAGTAATAGATAATGTAGAAACTCTGGAAGGAGATGTATACAGACTTAAACCCTCTTATAAAGCTACAGAAACGCCAAAGCTAAATGCTGACAGCAATCAAAGCAGAGAATGTTTAATAAGTAAGGCAAATACTGAGCAACATTTTAATGAAACAGTGGGAAGGGAATTCACAAAGCTGGATAGATATCAGCAGCTCAAAGACAACAAACAGAATGTGTCCACACAGGATAGGTGGAGACAGACAAACAGCCAAGACACACAAAATATCAGTCTTAAAGCAGTTACCTCTCCATGGAAACAAGAGATGACTGCAGCCGCGATAAAGGAACTAAATTTACCAAGTAACAAATACAGAGGAGAAAGTATAAATAAAGAACATGAAAAAATAGAGTTGAGGGAGAGTTTTGGTGTTGGAACATCTTCTCATAAAAAGGCTGGGTTGGTCAGTCCAAACATTTCAAACCAACTGCTACAATATGCTCCATTTAGTAATGACACTGTAGAAAATCAAGCATATTATGGACAACAGCTAAATGAAGCATTTAAGGACAAACATCCACTTCAAAAGTATTATGGACACAATAAGGAAAATGAAATGAAAGATCATTTTTTGACACGGAATTATAGCAGAGATACTGACCAAGAACGCAGAAACCAACAAACCTTTTATTCAAACAAAGAAACAACTATGCTCACACAAGAAACAGGTCAAAGAAAACAATATACACCAATTCCAAAGGGTCATGAAATGCAAAGTCTCCTGCCAATGGAAGCTAAACTACAGCTTGAACATAATATGCAGGAAGATTCATTATCTAACTCTGAAAATGCATCTGCCCACACAATGGCAAACCGGATAAAACATAGACAGTTTGATGAGGTCAAGGCTGAACAGGCCATGGCAGAACATATAAAAGCACAACACGCCCAAGCAGAGCTGGCAAAGGCTCAGCACTGGGCTCAAGAGGAGCAGCCCAAAGCGGTGTCGGCTAGGTTAATTTTAGCAGGGCAGACTGGTTCAGAGAAAGTCAAGGCAGAACAGGCCAAAGCAGAAATAACAGAGCACAAGAGAGTAAACCAGGCTAAAGCAGAACATATTAAAGAGGAGAAGGGAAAAGAGGAGCAGACAGAACAGTCCAGAGAAAAACAACTAGAGCAAGCCACTGAGGAACAGACAAAGGCAGAGCGAACCAGAGAGCAGAAGGTAACTGAGGAGCTAAGAAATATTACAGAGGGAGCAGGAGCCAAGCACATGAGAGAGAAGCAGTATGAGCAGGTCAAAGCAGAACACGCTGGAGCAGAGAAGCTAAAAGAAGAACACATAAAAACTGAACTGGCAAAAGCTGAGCAGGCTGAGAAGGCAATAATAGAGCAATCTCAAACGGAACAGGCCAGAAGAGAAAGGATCAAAGCAGACCAATATGAGGAAGAACAGGTAAGAGCAGAACAAGTTGAAAGAGAGAGGATGGAGGCAGAACAAATCAGAATGGGAAAGGTTCAAGCAGAACAGGCTGAAGCAGAGCATAGAAAAGCTGAACAAGCTAAACTAGAGAAGATAAAAGAGCAACAAGCTAAAGTAGAACAAGACAAGACTAAGGTAGCTGAAGTGAGAAAGGTAAAAGCAGACAATATTAAAGTTGAGGATGTTAGACAAGAGCAAGCTGAGGAAGATTCAATTCAAGTAGGTCAAGTAAAAGCAGAGCAATCTACAACACAGATAAATATATCCAAAGAGGAAAAAGTTGAAGAGAGAAAGGCAGAGCAGGCAAAGTTGGAACACACCAAGATGGAGTTAGCAAAAGTAGATCTAACAAAAACAGACAAAATGCAGGAAAGGTCAGCTAAACTTGCAGCAAAACTGACTGCGGCACAACAGCTCAAAAGTGAGCCAGATAAAGTTGAGCAAGTTAAGACGGAGTTAGCCAAAGCTAAAGCAGAATTAGCTAAAATAAAGGAGAAAATGAGAGGAGAGCAAAAAGAAAAAGTCAGAAATACGGTTCTCACAAAAGAAGGTGAGATTGAGAAAGATGTTTGTTTAAGTGTAAATATCAATACAAATGAAGAGTACAAACATCAGGACCAGGCAACACAAATGCGTCAACAGAGGGAAGACTTAGTAGTTGTCAGCAGGCAAAGTGAGGATCAAGGTAACAGAGGGGCTGATGACTATAAGTGTTTTAGAGAGGAATGTGGTTTTACTGATTCAGCTTCAACAAACAGAAACAAACTGTCAGCTGCAGGAAATGTTTCTTGGAATGATGCCAATCAAACACCCTCTTTATCATTTAATAAAGTTGAAGCAACGAATAATGGGAAATCAAAAGACAAACACAGTCCTACAAGCAGGTTTGCAACACCTAACACAGAAAATAAGGAGGAAGGAAGCAGCTTTAAATCCATTAAGGTGACAGAAAATCACTATGTTTACAGTGAGTCATCCAAAGAATTCAAGTTATCTGGTGACGATTATATACCTAGCAATGTAAATGCAAAAAGTGAAAATAGTAACACTGTTACTGATAAGGTGAAGGATGACCGTGTTGAAAATGATGATCCTCACAGGAAACACACTGATGTTTCACAGCAACAAGATTCTGATTTGGTTAAACCAATCCTTCTTGAAAGAAAACCCAAGTCAATTGAGCACAGTGTAGGTAAAGATCCGCATTTTACCCCTCTCAGAGCACTGTCCCATAAAGAGAGAGCCCAGACCAAGCAGGAGATTCTGACTTCCAAGATAAAAGCTCATGCTGAAAAAGAGATTTCAGCAATTAAAGAAAAGGGTTTTGCTATACGAGATGGGTTTATATCCAAAACTTCTACCAAGCAATTAGCAGGTACTCAGAGTATTAACATACGACAGAGGCCACCCTCCCAGGAAGCGTCTAAAAAGCACGAAAGTACAATATCCAATAATAATACACCAAAGCACCAGATGGAGCCTTCAGGAATACTAAAGGAACGAGTCAAGTCTGTTTCACCTCCCAGCTCTGCTAGAATACCAGTAAAGTCTTCTGCAACCACCGGTCAGTTAGTAGACCATTCAAAGAAACAAGTTCCTAAAGAACCAATAAGCAACTACAAAGTGTCACAACCACCCAGAGAAGCAAAACTGATGGGACGTTATACCATGAGCACAGATGAGGGCTTGATAGAAAACCAAAAGAAAGAGATTCAATCTGGAATTAAGTCACCAATGCAAAGTAAAGAGCAGGCACCCAAGAACAAGCAAGGAAAACAGGAACCAAATCATGGAGAAAACTCTGTAAAACAGACAGAGGGACTTAAAGAGAATCCTGCTGTTAACACTGACTGTCTCGACAAGAAGAAAGAGGATCCATCACAAGCTATAGCTCTGGTCAAAACTGAAAGCTCCAAACCTATGACAACAGAAAATGCTGAAAGCAAAAACGAAGCAGTTCATGAGTTGTCAGCACCTTCACTAAATCTTGTCTTTGGTCAGAACGAGACCCCAGTGGATGACGACAGCTTGCAGATCACAGGAATAATGGTAACTGTACGAGAAAGAAAGCCACCTGTGATCAATGCTCAGAGGAGTAACAGCACTCAAGATCAACTGGATGCAGAAGAGAAAGAGTACAGTAATTCAGAGCTAGACACATGCAATCCCAGCTCTGGTCTAGAAGTAAATAAAGGAAATATATATTCAAAGGAAGTTAGCAGAGTAAATGGAAAGGACAGAGTTGTACCAAACACTCATCCTACAGTGAAGGAAGATCAAACTAAATTTTCTGTGAAAAATCATACTAAGAACGTGCAAGAAATCTCAACCCTAGAGACAAGACAAAACAATGTGTCTGAGAATGTCCCTGTGAAAAAAGCAAATCTCAAGGGGGAGAGTTTTATAAATGCAAGACCCCAAAGTGAAACACAACTGCAACCACTAGCTGAAAAAGGTGTGTCCTCCACAGTTACCTACCTACCTTCTAAAGTGTTGGCTGAAACGCAACCCCTTCTCTACAACCAGGACATAATAGCAACAGAAACCAAAGAACACACAAATACAATGCCAAAAGAGAACTCAGCTAAGAGCATAAGGACTGGTGAAGTAAAGATTAATACAGAAGAGGAAACTCCACTAAAAAAGCAAACAGCACAAATCAGTGAGAACCAAATGACCAAAGAGGTGAACACAGGATTAAGCTACATAAATGATTCAAACGGAGCTGATGGTGAAACTCTGATAAAACATGACGTCCAGCCATCAGTGAAAGAAGATATGACAACGGTCATAAATCTGTCCAAAAACGGGAACATAGATGGCAAGAGTGCACCCCTACCGGAGGAAAAGAGACATGACGCAACACCACCAAAGCCATTCAACAAAATCAGTCTTTCTAACCATTTAACTGCAAATGACAACAGAAACGTATCTCCAAAACAGACACACATTGGAGAAAATAACCAAGTTGATGATGATTTGCATATTGGCAGCATTGCCATCAGAGTTGTGCCAGCAGAAACAGACAAGCATAACCTAAAAATGGCAGGAAAACATCATGTCACAATTGACCCTTCTGATGTAGGTAAAGCTAATAAACATAAACAAGTTGCGTCATCTAGTCATGATGAAAAAGTGAACACTTTAAGCAATGAAGACAGAACCAAAGACCTAACTCCAACAAGCAGTGAGAAGCAGATGAAAGACAGTTTGGAAGACAAATTGGGAGTACACTATGCCATGTCCAGTGTGAAAAAACTGTCAGATTCACTAAAAATCTGCAATCAACAAAACAACATGAATGCAATCAGTGAAAATACTCAAGCTGAAAATGGAAAGCCTGAAAAAGTTAATAGAAGTGTGAAAGCACTAAATGAATCAAAGATAAAACCAACAGAGATAGACTACTTTCAAGTGCAAGGGGTAGCAGAAACAAATAGTGAACCCCACAATAGTGCAAATGCTGGAGATATTTCAGATGCTGTTTCAAAGGGAAGGGAACTTCCCGGGTTATTACCAAACAATGCAGCTATCAGCAATGAGTCATACAATGAAGGAAAAAATGCAGTCTTTGAGTTGGATCAAAGTAAAAGGAAAACAGTAGAATTAAGTTCAGTAAGAGTTCTAGATGAGAGCATGAAAAGGAAAAACAGGGAAACAGAAGATAGTCTGGCTTCAAAACAGAGTGATGGTCCCACAGAGATACAGAGTAATAAAAATGAGAAGACAGCAGCAGATCATGCTATCCATATCAGAAAACATCACACAGAGGACCAGCCCAGTTTATCAGCAAGGGAAAGACAGAACTCAAGAAATTCACACACAACAAGAGAAACCCCTGAAGTTAAACCAAAAACAAAAGAACGGATATCCACAATACCTGAGATATCAGCAATTGCAGACTACGCCAGGTTAAAAGTAATTGTTTCAGAAGACCAGGCAAACACAATTCAGGAATTCCCACCCAACAAAAAGGAGGGATTCTTTCCACTAATACAGACTCGTCATAGCAGGTGTCCAGTATTCACTGCTGACCTACAAGACGTCCCTGTGAAAGAGAAAAGTTTGCCAAATAAAACAGAGGTCAGCTCCAAATTGAACAAAGAGCCCAAACCCTTAGTATTTCCCATTACGGAGAAAGAACACCAAAGGACGGGGATGTTCAAGCTGGGGGACAAAGAAAGACAAGAGAATATGCTTTCAGATGTTAAAGTCAATGAAGATGTATTAGACACTGGGGCAAAACATGCACAACATCTTAAAGAAATAAACAAGTCACCAACAGCTCATCTTAAGAACCAGGGAAGTGAAGAACAAGTGGCCGGAATCCAAAGACTTCGTCAAATAGATCAAAGTATTCATAAGCCAAACAACCCTCCCTTGCAAGCAACTACCTCATCTTCATCTTCAGTCAGCAGGCCAAAAAACACTTCTGTGTCACATAACCTAAAGCCACTTGATAACTCCAATCCACATGAAAAACCTGAATGTTCCTCAAAAGCTGAAAGAAAACCATATTTGGATAAAAGCTCTCATCCATTGGGGGGAATATACAACATAAAGGAAAGCACAACAACTCTAAGAAAAGATGAGATGAGTGCACTGGCTAAGAACGGAGAAGACAGAACAGAAAACTTAAAACAAGAAAGACTTGCAACTCAGCGTGAAGAAACCAAAGTAAAACAGCAGAGCACACCAAAACACTTGGATGAAAAACAAGCTTCTAGGATAGAAGTGGAGAAAAGAGCAGAAGACATGAAAATAAAACACATGTTAGAGGAGAGTAGAGCTTCTCTGGCTGAAGAAGAGAGGAGAGCTGCTCAGAGAGAAGATGAGAGGAGAGCAAGAGAGCGGGAAGCAATAGCTATTAAGATCAAGGAGAGAAGGGAAAAACTGAGAGAAGCAGAGAGAAGAACAGAGGAAGATAGAAAAGCAAAAAAGACAGAGGAAGAGAGAGCAGCTCAAAAAGCAGAGGAGATGAGAGCAAAACAAAGAGAAGAAGAAAGGAGAATGAAGGAAACTGAGGAGAAAAGGAGAGTAAAGATTGAGGAGGAGAAGAGAGCAAAACTGAGAGAGGAGGAAGAGCGGATAAAAGAGGATGAGGAGAAGAGGAGGGTCAAACTGCAAGAGGACAGAGCTGCTCAAGAAGAGCAGCAAAAGAGAGCTGCACAAGAGGAGCAGCAAAGGAGAGCTGCACAAGCAGAGCAAGAAAGGAGAGCTGCACAAGCAGAGCAAGAAAGGAGAGCTGCTCAAGAAGAGCTAGAAAGGAGAGCTGCAGAAGAGGCCCAGCAAAAGAGAGCTGCACAAGAGGAGCAGCAAAGGAGAGCTGCACAAGCAGAGCAAGAAAGGAGAGCTGCACAAGCAGAGCAAGAAAGGAGAGCTGCTCAAGAAGAGCTAGAAAGGAGAGCTGCAGAAGAGGCCCAGCAAAGGAGAGCTGCACAAGCAGAGCAAGAAAGGAGAGCTGCTCAAGAAGAGCTAGAAAGGAGAGCTGCAGAAGAGGCCCAGCAAAAGAGAGCTGCACAAGAGGCCCAGCAAAGGAGAGCTGCTCAAGAAGAGCTAGAAAGGAGAGCTGCTCGAGAAGAGCTAGAAAGGAGAGCTGCAGAAGAGGAGCAGAAAAGGAGAGCTGCACAAGAGGCCCAGCAATGGAGAGCTGCACAAGCAGAGCAAGAAAGGAGAGATGCTCGAGAAGAAGAGCAGAAAAGGAGAGCTGCACTGATTGAGGAGAAGATACTTGCTGATATTGAGGTAGAAAAGAAGAGGAAACAGAGAGAAGAGGAGAAAACTACTCAGATTTCAGAGGAGGAAAAGATCAAACAGATCAAGGAGCAGAATAAGGCAAAGCAGCAGATTGAGCAGAAAAGAGCAGCACAGAGGATGGATGCTCTCCAGTACTATGCCATCACCTCAACAGAATCAGAGAGGAAAGCCAGAGAAAGACAATTATGCTCCCCTTCACCTTCTCATCCAAGAAACAACCCACCAGGGCTTGAGTCAACTGAGGACTCAGGATCCCACCCTTGGCCATATAGGCCACATGCCCCTGCATCTCCAGCTCCATCTCTGCCCCGCTCGAACACCTCCTCTCCCGCTCTAGGAGCCAAGCCCTCAATGTTCAGGGTGAAGGATAATACCATCAGAGGTTCGTCTTTCACTAAGTCAGTAAAACCACGCTTCTATAAGAATTTTGGAGAGGATTTCCGAGTGGGTTCACCCATAGGTTCAGAGAGAGGAGAGGAGGAGCAAGAGACAATGAGACGCAGTGCTGGAACTCCTGTCCATCCTGACACAGGGTTACACAGACTTGCCGCTATCAAAGAATCCACGACTTTTCAGCCAGCATCTTCCTCACAGAGTTACTCAGCCCCTCTCCCACATCACAAGCCTTACTCCAGGAGGAGCATCGCTCTAGATGAAGACGACTCCCGCTCTGTTATCAGCAACATGTCAGAGGATGTGGAGAGTTTTGCCACCAGTGCAACAGACCTGGCAGATGTACGAGGCCTGTATGACTACGAGAGGCCTGAATCCGCCTGCAGCTTCAGCAGTGATGTGTCCCGTTCCTATGGCAAGCCTCCGGCTGTTCCCCCAAAGAGTGAAAAAGCCTTGCGTCGTGCAAAAAGGTTGACTACTCGGAGAATCAAGAAGGAATTGTCCAAATCTGCAGCAGACGACCCTGCTAGAGTTGAGAAACCTCTTCAAGAAGTCTCCTCCTCCTCCACTGAGGTACGCTCCTCCAACCGGCATGCTGTGGCTTCCCCTCATTCTTCCCCACCTGTCTCCCTTGCTCATGCTCCAACATTGGGGTCTAGCTTGCCTTTTTCCCACACAGAGCACAAGTCTTCTCACGGCTCTTTCTCTGCTTCCCCTCATGCCACTGGTCCCATCTCGCTCCCTGTTGCCTCACCTCATGCTACTGCCCCTGTGTCCCTCCCTGTTGCCTCACTTCGTGCTACTGGGCCAGCTTCACACCCTGCTGCTCCTAAGACAGTTGCTGATGTTCCCTCTTCTCCCACTCTCAAACATGCCAACCACCCAGCTCCAGTGACACAGTACCATGTAGAGTCAAGCTATCCCCAGTCCTACCCGCTGACCCAGCGTAAGGTGCTGCAAGATCTCGGCTCTGGTCAGTATTTCGTAGTGGACGTGCCTGTTCAAGTGAAAACAAAGACTTTCTTTGACCCAGAGACTGGAAAGTACGTTCAGCTGAATGTGCGTGAGTCTGCCCAGAGCACCTCCCGACCCAAGCCCCAGCAAACATACCTACAGCCTCAGCTCCAACCCCAGATACAAGTCAAGCCGCAACAACAGCCTCTCTCCCAGGCCTCTCCAGCTGGCAAGCCCCTTGTGCTTTATCAAGGCTATCATGGTTATCCCCAAAGCTACCAACCTGCGACTAATTCTGTTCCCCACAACAGGTCATCAGCCCCTGCGACTCTCCACCAGGACCAACAGCCTGTCAGAGAGAGCCAGAGCTATGGACATCCAGCCCCTGAAATGAGACAGAACTCTGAAGGGTATTGCTACAGCCCGGAGAAGACTCCATACATGGACACGGTTAATGATCCAGACAAAACATATAACACAGTTTACAATGCACATGGCCCATATGAGTTGGTCCCAGAGTGTGACACAAACAGCCAGCTTGCAGGAAGCTCAGTTTGTGAAAATGATAACTCAGCCCACTCACGATATCAGCCCCGTGATATAATAACCATGAGTGAACTGGATGACTTTATGGAGCTGTCTGACTGGTGAGAACAAAGACTGGTATTGACTCAAAATGGGTTGATAACGTAAAGCAGATAAGTGGCAAAATAAATGTTGATAGAAATAAAAATACCCCTAGGCACAGAATGAATGGATCATCATATGCAGTAAGTGTAAATGACTTTTTCAAGTGAAAATAGTCTCAGAATGTTTTTGGTTTTAGTTTTAAAAAGTCATGCTGTTAAATTGCTGCTAAAGTTCACCATTCCATTTGACTTGTGAATGTGAGAAGCTAAGATATGTTTCTTGTGTATACAGTAAGATCAATATCCCGTTGCCTCCTAAACCTAGAGGTATGTTATCATACATCAAACAGCAACAGTATGTCAATAGCGTTTAGTAGTTTGGAGAAAGTTTCTGCTATGAACACTGGCAGGCCTGCTTAAGTTTTCTTTCTTTTTTCTTTCTTGTTGGAGAAACTTTTGGCATTTTGTGAAGCATGAAGTTTTGTTAAATTCACAGCGTCAATCAAAGATCTGCAGATGGTGAAAAGCATAGTTTGTGTATTCAACCACTCTGTCAAAGTGAAAACATGTTGATGAGATTATTGCTGTTTAAGGTTTCTTATCATACAGTAGTCCATTTTTAAAGTTGGAAGTTTGTGAGAATGTTTCTGTGTTGCTGTGTAACAGAGTAGCGTGACATGGGCTTATTCAGGAAATAGAAACACACTTCATTCTACCAAAAAACCTCTCACCACAATGACTGTCAAAACCCCCTTGTAAAGATTATAAATAAACAAAGACCATTTAAAAGATTGCTGCAACAGGTTGATTTCATTTTACTACTCAAAAGACTGAAATAACAATATTATGTTATGTTACTGTCTCTGGCATCCTGTTCCAAATCTTGAAATGTACCCTGAGTTTGAAAGACTCAGAGAGTATTTTTACTGAGTGTATAAAACAATTACAACGTGTTATTGAGAGAGCACAATAATATGTCCTGAGAGAGTTATAAACACAGACAAACATATACACAGAAAGAGAAATAACATTTTGTTGATGTGTGTGTGTGTGTGTGTGTGTGTGTGTGTCCCTTTTGCTGTATGAACCAATCTAAATGCTTAAATATTTGCTCACTATACCTATGGGATCAAAGGACTTCTTTGATTTGTTTTGATTCACAAGCTCAGATTAAATGTACATGGTTGTAGAGAGAAAACCTGCAGCCCCAGTTTCATTGTAATCTCGAGTATTGTTCATCCCCTGAGAAGCAGTTGCCTGCTTTGACCACTGCAGGGCAGAGGAGAGCGATTCCTTCACTGGTGCAAAGACTTGAACTTAAGAAACCCCAAGTAAAAGATGTAGTTAAGAAGACACAATCTTTCTCCACAGTTAATAGAACTATCATTTTGGCAATTTTACACATGACCCTGAATTGCTAAAACTTGTTCTACAGCTCAAACTTAAGTATTTAATTAATTTACTATCTTTGCAAGACAAAATATTGTGTCATTGTTAGATAAGATTAAACCACCTTATCAACCCAGCCAGTGCCCTGTCCTCTGAATCCATGCTTTTTAGGAGAATCCTACATACAACCTGAAGGGTTAAATCTGTTGTGTAATTCCATTTGGCTTTGGCAGAGCTCATAGCGCCAGCAGAAGTCCTGCCTCAGCAGTTTAGCCTACCCAATAAAGCAGCAGGCTTCATACCACTGGGACAGTCTGACAACCACAGCCAGAGACAAGCCCATGCCACTCTGTCCAGCAGCCAGACAGGGAGAGGTCCCAGCATGCACACGCAGATTCACATAAATGCAAGAACACATGCAAGCACAAGACACAAAAACACAGAGCTCAAATACCTGAGCATCAAACATTTGCTCTGAACTTTACTGTGAGATACAAGATGAGGATTAACTCTGGATGTGTGTGATGGAAATGCATGTTCAGTGCTTCTTTGTATATGCTTCTCAAAATGACACACAGTGTGACAGGCGCCAACACACACACAAACCATGAGACCTGACCATCGTTTTTGAGTTCTGGGGTTTTGGGCCATGGTCCAAGACTCCTCACAAGAACACAGGAAACGACATTTCCTACGTTTTGCAGGACACACAGAGAAATAGAGAGAGACAGGGTGAGACAGTCAGATAGAGAGAGAGAGAGTGTGTGCTGGGAGAGTGAGTGGGAGTTTCTAAGTGGGAACAGAGCGTTTACTGTTTCATATTACACAGAAAAGAGGAGAAAGAGGAGAAGAGTTAATGGTGGGTAAGGGCTCTGGTGGGTTGTGCAGTCAGGCTCTGTTTTGAATGTGGCTGCTTGTGTAAGTGCTGTGCAGTTGTCTGGGTTTATGGATTCGCTGACTGTGGAAAATGTACTTCTCTATAGTGGTCCTTGTCCTGACTAAAGCTCTGGTCACAGGTAAGTTCACCTTGTTTACAGCAATATTAACTGGTAAGAAAGCGAGCAAGCAGGCAAGAAAGAAAGAGATTGTGTCTGAAGTTGTACTAACATCTGACATACACTGTGGAACCATACATTTTGAGTTTATTATGGAACTTTGGCATGAAAATAACATACAAGGAAAACACCCAATAGTCAGTAGTCTATAAAAACCAAAAGTTGCAAATGCATTAATCATTATTACAGTATTGGCAATATTGATGTAGCAAAAGCATGTCTGGGCTAGTATATTGTTTAAAATCAAACCATTTGCGGAGTTAAACAAGTTTGTTCTCTGTGATCAGAGAAAACCTCAGTATAATTTGCGTTCTATAAACTTCCCCAATGTGGATATTTTCTGCCCTATAATCTTTTGGTTATGTTCAGTTTTGTGTTTGGTTTGAGCTTTTGTTGTCACATTAAATAGTGTAGGACAGACCCTGGGGGATATTCCACAACTAACACAGCAACAACAACAAAAAAACCCCAGCAATGCAGCCCAGATGGTCCCTGTTATCTTGTCGTGTTTCTCTGTTTTGGCGGTGTACCCTACTGAAGATGAATGTTTCCCACCTGTAGATTCTCTTGCCCTGTCTAATCACACATATTGTGTCCAGACTCCATGTGTCTTCTATACAAACCTGACCCAGCTGGCAGCAAGCACCTCCAGGGAAGTAAAATAGGGGCACCCAACGTACGTTTTAGTCTTCTCATTCTTGCTGTGTCATGCTTTCTTGCCATTAAAGAACAAATTCCCATCCAGTGATGGAATAACATATATAAGCAGAACCAGAGATAATGCAAGCTCTAACACCATAAATCCAAGCAGCCACTGTGGGCGTGCATATAAACTTACTTTGTCACACTTTGTCTAAAATGCTACAATTATGTTTAATTGGCAGGAAATCAAACATCTTGCATAAATGAACTCTCCTCCATGTGGGGAACATTACCAACTCTAGTTAATTACTAATTTAAAAAGCAGGGAGGAGTCACACAAGCTACCAGATCATAATTCTCTGCGAGTGTCCTTATGTTTGAAGAATACCTTTTATGGGTTGGTTTGCTTTTATTCGGTAATATTAACAATACACAATATAAGAAGCGCACATATCCAAAAAAAAGGAACACATATTAAGAGTGTGGGATATGTGTCCCAAAACAAATTTTAAAAAATAATAAAAATCACACCTATACTGTTTGTTTCTTTTGTCAACAGAGGTATGTCACGCCCTGAATGTGACAGTGACCCCTGGGCCTGTTGTCATGGTAACAGAAAAGGAAAACTTGACACTCTCGTGCTTGGTATCTCAGAGGAAGAGGAGTGGCAGCGTCCTTATCCTTCGCTGGTTCTTTTCTCCTCTTGTTGCTCCCCCACTCGCGCCTCCTCCCGCCTCTCCATCCCCCTCTTCTACTGCACTCGAGCCCTCTCAGTTTCTGGTCGTGAAGATGGGCATAAAGAAAATTAAGCTGTATGGGAACTACACCCGCCGCTTCCCCCAGCCAAAGTTTCGTCTGTATGAGGAAACAGAGGGAGAGGTGTACCGGTTGTGGATTCTCAATGTGACAGGAACGGACCAGGGTTTCTACACCTGTAGAGTTCAGGAGATTCGCAAACACAGAAACACATGGAGAGCATCGTCCAATGGTACCAGCACCACACAGCTGACAGGTAACTGAAGGTGTAGTTAATGCACTTCGCTTTCCATATCACATTTGTCTGTGGAGAGACCCAGGCCCCCCTTTTGGCTGATTACGTGGTGAAAGTTGAGAAAACAATTATTTAATTTAAAATGCAGCATGTCATCTAAGTGGTTGGCCTATGAGACCCTTTCTCAGCATGCATCAGAGTGAACAACAGAGTAAAAACATTTGAGTTTCCCCTTGTGGTATTAATAAAGTATATATCTTATCCTCCCCGTCTAGGTATCCTTGAGCAAGATGTTAAAGCCCTACAGCATTTGGGAGGTGTCCCGTGGTGGAGAGCACGCCAAAAGTGAATCAGACAAAAGAAAAAATGTCACGTATTGCACTTTTTGTAGCAGAATTAGAAGTTAGATTGCATTAACTTTTTAGCCTTTGTCAGATCAGATGCAAAGGAATTTATTTACGTCAATTTAACCTTCAGTAAAGGTGGAGTTAGGAAAAACAAATCTCTCATGACCAATATAATGATGCATTATGTTGTTTTTAATGCTTTTGCACAACCACGGTCACTGACAAGAGAGGAGCAAATGCAAAGGGGATTTCTCTGTTTCTCTGTTATTAGTCTGAAAATGTTTTCCATGGAATAGGCCTATTTCTTTCCCTTACCGCACAGTCAGCTGAGGCCTGCTGTCCATGTTATCTGGCAATGGAAATAACCGAATAAAGGGAGAGCAAGTGGAGAGCAAGAGGACAAAAGGCAAATCTGTAGCATATATTTTCTGACGCTGCCCTATTTGCTGTAAGTTCTGCCTATGTTTGTTTGAGTGTGACCCCAATCCTCTGGCATTTCCATCTCAAAACAATGAGCTCACACAGCCAAACCACACTCAACAATATCGCTCTCTGTGCACGAGTGTGAGGAGCAAAAGGTAGAGTGTTGCTGAGCTGGCTATGTTCAAAAACATCAAATACATGACGTCAGCATTATGTGTTTACTTTTGTGCAAGAAGAAAATTTACTGGAAAATTCAGTTGCAGTGGAACGTATTTAATCTGTGCCAGTATGTACACATCCAGAACACATCAGGTAAAGAACTAATTTGAATCACATGCAGCAATAAATATTTCTTTGCACGGTACTCATTACCTGATTCAACTAGACTGATTGGCAAGGAAACCATCTGTCACTGTGGCATGCATTTGGATCAAAGGGTTTAACAGAGACTGAAGATGCTGCTATACCATGCTATAGGTGTGGCTATACCTGACACAGTTGCTCAGTTAAGCTTTCACTAGTCTTATGACAGAAAAGCATAGAGATTTGAGTCAGACAGAGCCATCGGACAACGCCCTGCCCTATATTCAGGGCAATGTCCCACTAAGGAACCCTCAGAACCTCAGGCATCTCTGACATGCATTGACCACAGAACCAGAAACATGACATTATATGGGTAAACAAAGAGAAAACTAAATTGTAACTGTAATTGAGACTGGGAACCCCTCAGTCTGCAGATTTCCGTCTGCAGATCTCAGAGCAAAGGCTACACCCCATTGGGATAATTGGACTACACTTATTTAAATGATTTTGCACAGAAGGGGACATCTCTATATCCAAACTTCAGACTTTAAGGTTAACTGATTTCTGCTGCTAAACCAGTAAAATGAGCAGACGGTTAAATTATATCTTATTTGACACTGCTACACTGGGGGAACGCAGAT